TCCAACCAGACTGTTAATGACAGGTCATGTCTTACTCTTCTTGAAAAACCTGTTTGTTACATAAGTCAGCTGTTGTATGTAAGTCCTGGAGGAGCTCTACTGCTTTTGCCTAAGCATTATTGGAGGTAAAAGGAAATAATAGAGATGTAATAAACTCCACCAGATAAAATGGAATGGAGATTTTAAAAACAAGCAACTTCTTTATTAGAGTGAAGTATTGTCTAAAAATGCAACTTCAGGGGACTCTCTGGAGTCCAAGGGGTTATGTCTGCACTATCACTGCTGCTGCCTGAGTTCTATCCCTGGGTAGAGAGCTAACCCACATATGATGCAGCAGAAAATAAAAATGCAGCTTCACTTCCTAGTAGCCAATAAAACTGGGCTGCCTAATGCTCTTGCTTTGGAATTGGGACTTAAGACAGGACCCAGTTATCATACATACTATCTAGCATATAGTTTGATGAATGAGAAGTCTAATCAAGATTTCATAGGAGCTTTGAGCAGGTTCCTAAGGCACCAAGTTTGTCATATTGCAACCTCTGTGTTTGGATTATGATCAGCTGGTTTGAAAAGTTAGAAATAGATTCTTGCTGTTCAGCATTTAGAATGTGCTTATCATTTTTGTCAACTGGCCTTTCCTGAAACCAGGGAGTATTGAGTTTTAATTCTTCTTCAAATCTGTTCTCATTCCTGAATCTTATCAATTTATAAGAAACTTAGACTGGATGCCAAAATACCCAGTACACTAATTGTACATGTCATACAGGAACTATGAAAAATAATCTAGAGTGTCCCATCAGTCATTTCAATCATTGATATTAGGGCCTCTACAGCTATTTTCCTGCTACTTTATATATCCCACATTTAAAACAATATACATTTGGTTTGTGTAACCACAGATCTTGTTGACTTTTGATCAAGTTTTATGATTTGTAAATGTCTTGCTATAAATCTCATTTTGTGCCTTTATGAAAACCTCACTTTGAAAATTGCAAGCCTATGGTTGAAAAGTTCATGTAAAGTCCACATTATACAGAAGCACATATTTTTAATGTCACCAGATAAAAATGTCTTAAAGTTAATTTAGTATTTTCACTTTGGGGTGCAACTTAAAAGGAAGGACATGAAAAAAAAGTGGGAATGAGCTATTAAGTATTCTTAGCAAAATGTTGTGCTTGTCTGGTGCATATGTAATGGAATATGCCCTTCAGTTTAGTAAATATTAGTCTAAAGGTAGACATGCTTTGTAGTTGTAATGAAAATAATTGTTAATCATAAAACTTCTGAATATTGTGTAAATATTCCCCATTTTTATTGGAAATCATGACCATCTATCTGTGTTTGAGGTATGATTTTCTTCCCATCTCTCCCAATATTATTTTTTGCAGAAAGACAAATTCATTTCTAAAATGAATTGGAAAGACATCCAGTATTTTATATTCCTGATGTGCTCGGTAACTTATTATGATAATTAGGCTTATTGTGCAATTAATGAAATATATATTGATATCAATTAATCATATGGTTATACTCTCTTGAATGTATGATTATAGTTGTGTGGCAAAATTATTTCTACTTAGCATGAGATTTTAATAATGTAGATATTGACATGCACAAATAGAAAAAGCTAAGAGTAATCACTAAACACAGCAAAGTAGGATGAATATATAAATTCTTAAACAAACTTCCTGCCAGAAGAATGCAGCAAAAGAAAGATAAAGGGTAAAGCAGTACAAAATAGAAGGCAAGATTAAAATCACAACAGTAATTCCAAATACATTAGTAATCACAAAATATAACTGAACTAAATTTTCTCCTTCAAAAATAGGGGATTGTTTAATTGAATAAGTGCTAAATCTGATTATATATATATTTTTATGAAAGAGACACCTTAAAATTGTGGCTATGAAACATGAAAAGATGCTGACAAAGGAAATACTAAACAAGAAACTAAAGTCATTAAATTAATACAAGAAAAAAGTGAACTTTAGCCCATAAAGCTTTATTAGAGATAAAAGGGGTTGGGCCCTCCTTGGTGGGGCAACTGGCTAAAGTGCAATACTGTGAAGCTAGCCACAGGTGCTTCAGTAGTAGCTAGATCCCTGCCAGGAAGCTGACCCATATGACATGGCAGACCTCTCCTGACCCTCTCGCTGCTCTCCTCAGTAGTATATTTTGTCAATCTGCTTGTTCCACTCCCCACTCTGTCTCTGTGAATCCTCTCACCAGCACCCCCCCCACACACACACATCACTGGCCTGTACCCCAGTTCTGTATGCATAATTAAATAAATCTTTTTTAAAAAAAATAAAGATAGGGCCCTCCCTGGTGGCGCAGCGGGTTAAAGCACTGCACTAAGAAGCTTAAGCCACTTTCGCATGAGTTCGATCCCCGCCTGCCCCGGAGGTGACCACATGGCGTGGCAGACCTCTCCTGACCCGCCCACTGCTCCCCTCAGCAGTGTACTTCGTTGATCTGCCTGTTCTGCTCCCCACTCTGTCTCTGGTGAATCCTCTCACCCTCCACATCTCTGGCCTGTACCCCAGTTCTGTATGAATAAATAAATAAATCTTTAAAAAAAAAAAAAAAGATAAAGAGGGTCACTACAAGGGATTAATGAGTTAATCTACTAGGAAGATATAACAGTGCTATAGTGTTATGCATTTAATTACCTTGCTATAGAATATAGAAAACAAAAATTGGTGGAGTTAAAGGGAAATATTTAAAAATTTGTCGTCACATGGAAATTTACAAGCACAGTTATTCTCACATTTTAATAAGGTGCACTTAAGGATTGGAATAAAACTACCAAATAAGATAATCAGAAAAATGTCACATTTTAAACATATATATGGTTCTGGTAATGGCAGAGACAGATGTTGACAATGCATATGGGAAGCTGGATTATCAAAGTAGTTCTTGAAGTGAAAGTGAGGAAATTGCAAAGTTCTAAATTAAAATTCTATATGATTTAAATATTTTATCATAAACTCAGTTTATTTCATCAATATTCTTAACAAGTTTAGTTAATTTGAGGGAAAGGAAATGAGATTTATCCTGGTTAATTTCTTATATTGAGTTGCATATGCATCCATTACTGTGATCAATAGTCAATTGAAAAGATATATACAACTCCTAATATTTATAATTCGAAATAGTGAAATCATCTTTCAAGTGCGATTCATGACTGATTGGAGCTAGAACAGCTGCAGATATAATGGGGTCATCACTCTTGTAACAAAATTAGGCCTGAAACACAAATATAGTCTCAGACTGACACTCTAATTCTCTTTTGTCAAAGCTATGCAAAATTGATGTTGATGTATTGATCAGCATGGTTATAGATAAGCTGTGCTTTCAGTGTAAGTGCACATTTACTATGAGGTCTATCACAAGCTTTGCATTTGATATTTTTCCAAAAAATTGATGAAATTTTATGATTTTGAGAAAGTCTTATAAAAAGAAAGGAATAACCCAGATAGCTCTAGGCCCTCTTAAAGAGAAGGGGGAAACATTGTAGAGAGTTTTGAGAGTACATTCTTTTCCTGTAAATGAATTTCTCTTTGACAGACAGAGATGTTTCAAACCAAACTGTTTTGGTTCCGTTTCCAAAATGTAGCCATCGCAATGGCCAAACTCTAAACCCATCTGTGAGATCTTCATGTATGAAAATTTAGAGACAAGGTCTCTTAGGGACTCAAGTTCTCTTTGGGAACAGTATTTTTCTTTGCAGTTTTCCTTTTCCTATCCTCAACTCAAATTTGTTAGCTCCTCTCTTCCTCTTCAGTCCCAACCATTTTGACCCCATAACTATTTTAAATTGGTACTAAAATACTACTTGTGGAAGGGAGAGGGAAGAGTGTTTGGTCATTCCGGAGTGGTGTTTATTGGTAAATTGTGAAGCCAGAGCCTCAAGGCTTTTGAAAATATACCTACTAGTAGAAGCAACTTTCCATCACACCTCTGGCCTCCTCTGAGAGTCACTGCACTTTTTGCAACTTGTTGTAGAAACTCGGGAATCCTTGGCTAACAGCGCTTAGAGCTGATTTGAGAGTATGACAAATGCAAGCTCAAGTAGTCCTGGGTGACTTGAATTCACTCAACCTGCTAATGGAGTAATCCACTACCTTCTTCTGTTTAGCTTCCTCTTTTGTTAGAGGGGAGCAGCAGTGCCTGTTGTACTAAAATTGTGAAAGTACTTAAGGTAGTGCCTGACACATACTCAACTACCCACAAAGGGTATCATGATCATGAACACTTTTATTATCATTATGTTGCTAATTATCTGGATTGGATTGCACTAAATACTGAAATAGAGATTGCATGACAAGCAAGGCTGTTCTGGACTGCTACCATTTGAAAGTTATATCACATGGAAGATTTAACTTCTCTGCTTTTTTGTAATCTTGAGACACATATTTTCTACCTACTGTTGTTTTAAAGGTCATCTTGAATTGATTTGGCTCCATATGGTTAAAGCGTATCCCCTTTGTTAACCTGCATGGTTGTTGATATTTAACAGAGTACTTACTCCAATAATTTCAAACTCAATGTAAGAAAGTGCAGATTCTTTGAGGAAAAGTAGCTTTAGTAACTAAAGAATTGAGTAACAGTTTTAGCTTTTTTCTATTTACTTTCCAATAATTTCCTATAGATTTATCTAGATACATAATACAGTGTAAGTTCTAAGTCCAAATTCTAGCAATTATTTGATATTCTACATAAATCTCCCACCTCTGAACCAGCTCTATCAACCATTTGCTTATAATAGAAATATTTTAAATCAGTAAGACTTAAGATAGCAAGAGTAAATGTCACTTTAGAGTAAAAGAGACTTTAAGAACCAGTATGAATCTTGCTTCTGTGTATTTTCAACAGATAATTTTAGTTTTTTTTTTCTTTGCTAGGAATAAATAAGTCCAGAAAAATTATGTGAGCCTTATGTCTTATTTAGTGGAATTTCTTCTCTATTCTGATGTCTGTTTTGCTTGTGTTTTCAGGCTCAGCTATGTGAACCATGCAGAAGATCTGGCCTCCAAGCTCCTACAGTGTTCCCCAAAGAACAGACTATCAGCACAGGCCGCCTTGAGCCATGAGTATTTTAGTGACCTGCCCCCACGGCTATGGGAACTAACTGATAGTGAGTATGAGAAATCTCAACAACCAAAGTAGGGACATCATTTTAGCTGTTATATAATGTACATATAGAATAATTCATGTTTTCATGGCTGTAAGCAAAATTAATCTGTGTGTATGTGTACATATACATACATACATGTTTGTGTATCTGGAGATGGGGCGGAGGGAGAACAGGGTGGTTGTGGGTATATATATTTAGTGGAATCCTGCCATTCAATTGCTAGCTTACCTGACATAGGAAGAAAATGGATTCCTTTTTTTTTTTTTTTTTTTTGCTATCTCTACTCTGCAGTCTGCAGCTGCATGTCTTTGTGTTTGGTTATGTGTGTGTCCAAAAAAAATGATCTGAGCCATCATAAAGGAAAAGGAAAATATGATTTACATATTTAGTGCTTTATGCATGCAATACTTTCTGACTGGCTGCAGTACACAGAGGAGAAATGATTCATTTTTGTTTGATTCTCAGAGACCATCTTGGTTGTAATAATAACCTTAAAAAGGACTGCTATGCAGTGAGCTGACGAACAGAGTTGGCAATTGGCTAATGCACTGAATTGACATGTAAGAACTGAAGACATGTAATTCATTTTAACTGCAAATGCTCTTGGTATTCATACAGACTGCTCTTCTGGATCTTTTAAAACAAAACACATTCCTGGGTGGGTTTTTGTTTTGTTTTAGAAAAGTGTTCATATTTACACAGCCCTTTTCAATTATATTTTAAATATTTGGGGGGGAGGATTTATGACTGGGAGGATCTCATCTTTCTTCCAAAGTGTGAAATAGAACTCTTGTGAAATTTTACAAAACACTCTTGCTGTAAGAATATTTTTGTTCAGTGTTGATATGTTCTTTCTAAATACTAATTAGAGAAAATTTCACATACTCTTTCCTGTTGCCTTAAAAATTAACATCCTGTATATATGTGTAAATATGTATAAGATGCTTTATAAATTCTTGGGTGTACAGCTCCTACCATAAACATACATTAAGTTATTTCTTTAATCTGTTGGTCTTTAAATTCTCTAAAGTTGGTGTCTCCATGACAACAATAACCCTTCGTTTGTGAACTAAGGCCCCAGTAACAATTCTGATTGGCTATTCCCCTGAATCTCTTTTGATAGCCCACATTTAATTTTAATTACTTTTTAACTCTAAAGTGATGGCAGATATACTGACCTACTGCTCTTTTCTGTGCTTACTAAGTGTCTGTTAACATTTCATAAAGTCCAGCTCGTGTTTTTTCTACATTCTACTCTACTTCCTTTCTAAAAGCCGACCCCACTGACTATTACAAAGCTTAGCCTCATTTTAAGAAAAAAGGTGAAATCCCTCTGGAAAAGTAATGAAGTAAGATGACATATCTTCCTATCCTGAAAAAAATAATAATGCAAATAGCTTCATTAATTCATGGCTCATCAAACTCAAACATATGCCTTGTTTTAGTGTAACTTGTAACTGATCTCACTCCTCCTTGGTGACATCTCAATCCCATCTGACGCGATGATTGAGTTTAAGCCAGGATTTTGATGGTCTATGAATTCTGAATTCTGTAGTAGTACTTTTCTGTTAATATGGACTTATTACCCACTTGCCACTTAGTTTATCAGCCAGTGGTTAAATCCAGTTTCTATCAGTAAGTAAATGCCTCTACATTATCACTCTGTAGCAGGCTGCCAGCAGAGACAGCCTTGTCCCAGTCATTAACAAGCACAATGTATGCAGAACACCAGAGGGGAATTAAAACCACAAAAAATACCTCAGGGTGGTATTTTTAATATGAGAATTTAATTTGTAATTTCACAGATTAAGAATTTTGGCTGCATTAATCCCTTTATCAGCTCACAGCAGGCTATTTGCAGAAGCATAACCATAAGGCGATATTCATTGGCAGAAACACGTCTTTGCATAACGTTAAACATCAGGAGCAGTGAAACCTTTTGAAGGGGGGAGAATAAAGATGAAAAATCATTATATTTTTAAAGCAAGATTCTGCTAAATGCCTCCGGTAACAATTTTGAGTTACAGAAATGCTATTTCTGGGTCTAGTAGATAATCATTATGAAGTATAAACCCAGTCGAAAGAAAGGACAATCCCAGTGTCTAATATTACAGTCATTTCATTTAGAACAATGTGGTAGACCTGGCAAACATGTTTACAAAACAAAAGTCGCCTACACTTTGGGAAGTAGTTCTTTTAGGTGAAATGATCAGTTTTGAAGACTCTTGTTTAGGTTAATGTTCTGTCAACTATATTTAGAAATTGTTAAAATTAAATTTTGCTTGTGTATGGAGTCTTGTAAAAGTTCACCCCCGTCACATGGCAGTGACAGTGACAGCCACAGCAACAATACCCTCATGTGCTTCCTTTTCAAGGAGATTTGGAAAGAGGTCCATCTGGAAAGAAGTATAGTCGAATCAGTAAATGGATTGTCTTGGCAGTCAGGCCATGATTTAGATTCACTAATTCAGGAGCCTCAGACTAATACATAGTCTGCTCAGGAGGTTGTGATAAAATACCATAGACCGGGAGACTTAAGCAACAGATATTTAATTCTCACAGTTCGGAAGTCCAAGATTAAGGATCTGTAAATTTGGTTCCTGGCTTCTTTCTTTCTCCTTATAAATACGCTAATCTCTTCATGAGGTTTCCTCCTTCATGGCCTCACCTAACCTAATTACTAGCCAGAGGCCCCTCTCTCTAAATATCATCAGATTGGGGAGGTCAGTGCTTCAATATGTGAATTTGGGAGCAACACAGTTCACTCCACAGCTCTCACAATCTTAAAGATAGCTCATAGCATTTTTTAAAAGAACATCTACAAAAAGGAAGCACTTATGCAAGCAGAAAGCAAAACCAGGTAAAAGGAGAAGACTGAACAAAAATAAGTTCAAAGTGGACTTGAGCCTTCTTGACCTACTTTAATATATCAGATCCTACGAAAAGAGTATCAAGAGGCTCTGGTTACACAAAGCACTGCAGTCACATAGATTAGTATAAAAACGAAGTCGCCCACTTAGGCCAGGCTCTCTTTACTTAGGAAGAATATGTAACAATACAGTGTCTTTATTATACTTTTCCCTAAAACCCCATCCATTTATATAATAAGAGCATTTAAAAATAATATATTAGTATGTCAGTAAAGTAGGAATTATCAGTTCACCAAACAAGATACAAGTGCACCTTAGTACCGTTACTGAGGGATCTGCTGGTTAAAGCTGTGAATTCTGGTGGCACCCTGTCATTCTCCCTCTCCTGAAACCCCAACAGTCTTGCCCCACTTCTGCACAAAGATTTAATTGCAAAGAAGTCAATGGAGGGCTGATTTAGAGGAAATTCATTACTTTTCCCAAATACAGCACAGGGCATTCTCTTGTGTATACTATCAAGTTATATAAATTATTGAAGCTGAACTACCCTTGTCAAAGTAAATGAACAAAATACACTTCATAGCACAGAGTCCTTGATTTTATTACATTCATTTGCTAACCCACAAAACGGATCTACAGAAAATGAAGGCCAACAAATTGGTGCAGTGTGAAGAGCACCGTGCTGGGACTCAGCCCACCTGGATTCTAGCTTCAGCTCCTCTAGTAACTCACTGGGCAACTTCGGACAAGCATCTTAGTCTCTGTGTCTTTCCAGTTCCTCTGTGTGTTTCCAGTTTCTCATGTAGACATGTGATGCTGAAGGACCTCTCCTGCTTTAATTTCAAACTTATTCCTATAGGTATCCTAAAATAATATTATGCTATTTGTTCATTGTTTAAAACTAAATGCATTGGTTCACACCTCTTTGCCACCTCCAGTTCTAGACTTCTGTGCTCTCTTGAATCAAACCAGACTTTTGAACCTAAGACTTGCAAAGTGCTGATTTTGAAACCTCTATCTTTTGGTTATTTCCCAGTCATCATCTTAATCTGTTAGTTAGAATTCAACACAATTGACCACCATCTCCTCCTATCAATATTTCCTTCCCCTTGGAATCCAGACATTCCTATGGGTTTCCTTGGCTTCCCTCAACTTTCCTCTTCAGACTTCTTTGGTGATTTTCCTCCACCCTCCCCTACTGTTAAACTGTCCTGGGGCTTACTCCTCAAATCCTATTTGCATACTCTCCCTGGAGCACAGATGATCTCATTCAGTCTTGTGATTTAAATATCATCAGTAAGCTGGCAGCTTCCAGTTTCTTTCTCCAGTTTCAGCTTCCCTGACTCCATCCAGACTTCTTATCCAACGACTCAGATACCAGAGTATCTTCAGGTACCAATGTTGGCATCTTAAACTTAATGGTACTAGAACTGAATTTCTGATCTTTAGCCCAGACTGGCTCCTCCCTTATCAATAAATGGCCATGCCTTTCTTCCAGGTGATGGAAGTCAACCCAGTTCTTCCAGACTGTGTTGACACTACCTTCAAAATAGGTCCGGAATCACACCACTTCTTCACTGCAGCTCTTCCCCCCCCCCGCACCCCCCGCACCAAATCACTCACCCCCCCCCACACACACAGTTTACTCATCCTCCATCAAGTCTCAGCCACCTCCAGTTTTGCCTGCTTCTCTTCTTACAATTTTGAGTTTCCTCTTTCTTCTTTTTGTAGTTGCTGTTCCCTTAGACATATTCTTGACTTGCTCTCTTACCTCCATTGTGATTCAGTTCAAAGGGACCTTATCAGGGAAACCATCATTGACCTACTGTAGCAACCCACACTTCCAGTCTCTCATACCTATTCTTTGTTTCTTCATAACACTTACTGCTAGTTCAAGTATTTGTTTAATTGTTCATCATCTCTCTCCTACATATGGGATCCATAAGAACAAGAATTTCTTTCATTCTGATTTATATAGTACAGGATTTTGATATAACTAGAACAGTGTGGGCTCAATGATTATCTCTCCAATGAGGGAATGAATGCCATGAAGAAATGGCAAAATGTTCTCAAATGTAAGTTAGTTGTGGTACATCAGAAAAATATGACCACAACTGAACTGAGGTTTGAGGAGAAGACAGACTATCTTGTCACAAGAATCTGTGTATGTGAGTCTGTGTAAGTGCATGTGTGTCTGTGACCAGTTGACATTTCAAAGACTGACGCATACCCTGATTTTCCTGGACATCCAGATTTGCATCTCAGTCTTCATTTTTTAAAAGATTACAGATTCATCTATAAACATACAAATGAAAGCTTTCATTCTGTCCACAGTGTCTTCTATTTTTACTGTTCCAAATGTAAGATTGCAACCAGAAGCTGGAGAGAGCATGCGGGCCTTTGGAAAAAACAATAGTTATGGCAAAAGTCTATCAAATAGCAAGCACTGATGAGCACAGTATTCTCGAGAGCACAGGTAAGATGACCTACTTTACTTGGAAAATAACATTGCTAGAAGTCAATAGATCTTTTAAGTGAAATATTTCAGATTCTTGTTTTTACAAGTACTTTTGAGTCTTATGTTCACTATGGTTTTTATCAGATTCTGCTGATGTGGAGTATGATCAATTATTTCCATATTTTTAAACATCTACTGGATTCTAACTAAACTTGCATTTCACTGATATAATCAGACACAAACCTTGTTAGTGGTAAACAAATCATTATTTACCTATTCTTTCCTGAGGTGAGAAAAAGGTTAATCTTGGGTTATATGTAAGCCACAGATCTGCTTTGCTTGCTCCACACAATATTTTTTTTATCAGTGGTTCTTATCTTTAAATGGAAGATTTTATACAAATTCTGAGTTTTGGACTTTACTTGAAAAATCAACAAGTCTGGCAAGAGTACAGACACATTCCCTCCAGAAGTCTGTGTGTAATTGAATGGAGGCTCGTCCTTTGGAAAGGATGTGTGCTCCCTAGTTTAGCTCAGTTGCTATGTGAGCATTCAGTCACTCCTATTCATGCCTGGCCCCTGGTTCTGTTGAAACTTTTCTTTGTTTCCGGTTCAATTCTTTAATGTCACCATTTTGTAGATAGGAAGCTTAATCTAAACAAGGCACTTTCTAGACATGTCAGCCTGCATGCTTCCCAGAAATTAACATTAAGACAGTAACTTCTGAAAAGTCTGTGTCTTTATTGCCACATGGAAATGTCTGTTGTTGTTGTTTAACTCTGTCCTTAAGTATATTTTTTCATTCATTGTATCATAACTGAAACAAATAAAGAAAGAACTTTTTGGTTGTGAAGGCTTTTGTTACTTATTTGTTACTTGCTTGTATGGATGATCAGTAATTAAATGAATGAAACATGGGATATTTACAGCATTGCAGGAGTTCCTCTTTTTTCCTCTCTTAATTTAAAGTGTGTTAACAGACTGAATTCTCACCAAAGCAAAAGATAGCAAATTAAACTGTTCATTTTGTCTTAGGAGTGATTTTCCAGTCTCTTTAGCTATTTCTGGCTTTAACTTTTATATGTACTTAATGTAGGGTGTCAGTTTTGGCCTCTCAGAAGTATGGTGGTGAATTATGATTACCAGATAAAAGATTACCAGATAATAGAAGATGTGTAAATGCCAGTTAGGAAATATTACTAATAAACTTGCCTGTTCTATTGCTAACAGTAAGATTTTTATATTTTTCAGATTATTTCTCCCTATTGGATATAAAGTTATCTAGAGCCCCAACCTATTCACTTGCTAGCATTGCTACTCCCACTCTGAATTTTAGTTCGTCAAAAGAGTGGGACCAATTTATTGACCAGTTACCTCCAAGTTCTAAGAATGCTTTTAATTTATGCTGATGTTTCATATGCTTTTTAAAGTGTTTAACCTGCATTACCATAATGAGGACCATTGGCTTCATAAATCTCTTAGCCAGTTCACTAGAACAAAACAAAAAGTGGACTCTTTGTGCTACATCCTCAGAACACACATGCACACAGCCAGCCTGAATTTTTATCACAGGATGTGTCATTTCTTCTCGGCACTTTTGAGACCCCTGACCTGAGGTTGACCAGTCAAAGCTGCAGGAATGTGTGTCAGATCAGCTTCTCCTTGTAAAATCAAATCAAGCTCGCTGGATAGAAGCATTGTCCCTAAGGTCTCAAAACATATTAATTGAAAAGAGATTTTTTAAAGTTTCTTCAGCCATCAGTATTCTTAAACCTTATCAAAATGTATTCTTTGTAGTGTACTTTAAAAACTAGATTCAAAATTATATGTCCACAGTGGAGAGATCCCTTTAAACTTAACTGATAGCAATATCAACATGTTCTCTTTTGGCTTCGTCATTTTTGCATCAGCTCTTAAAGCTTTAATATTATTACTGTTCTTGTTGTTTTCTTCCAAATCTGTATTCCTCAACTTGATTTACTGTTACACTGAGGAAACATCTAAGTTTTTCTTGTCTCTGAAAAGCTGCCAGGAAGCTGTACTCTAAGATCTAAGAGCTTTCTGTCAGTACACAGAATAAGAAATGATTTTAATCTTACCTTTATGCGATTTTGAATTTTATTCTAATGGGACCATTTTATAGAGATTACTGTATATTATAGAAATAATATAGCCTACATATTGGCCTACTGCAGCCTGTGAATTGGCCTTATTCTAACCAAAACATTCCTAAATGACAAAATGTGGACATTATAGAGCAAAAAAGCTACAAAACAAAGGTGTCACAGAGAAAACCGTGTGATTTTACTAATTTTTATTTTGTTGTTGAAGAATTGTTAAAGCAGTCTCTAGCATCTGAATTTTTTTTCTCAAATGTCCCAGATCTTTGTAAACCGCAAAGAGAATGGGAAGACGAAGAAGGGAAAATATATTGGGGGCATACTGTTGATGCGTATTTCAACTTCCTTTCTTTGGAAAGGTACAGACATAACTGTGGATGGAAAATGCATTGTATTACTCCTGCTTTTGATAATATTAGAGTTCTGAGTACACAAGAATGTTTAATGTCCTAACTTTCCCTCCCATCCCTGAATGCCAGATATCTCTGTATTTGCAAACGGAGGTCATTTCAGTTATGTAGTTAATAGTACTGGCTCTGCAAAAATTTCTCTAGTAAAAAAGCTAATGAGAGACATTTTTGGTTTCATTATCTTGTAACCAAATTAAATGAAAAGAAATGCGTACCTATCTATGTTAAAAGTGGGAGAGTATCCACTGGATGATCAAAATACTGTGCTTCTTACATTTTGTTATCCTCTAAAGATATTAATAGACTAAAGATTTCACAGATTGCCCCTTCCCTTTTTATCAGTATTGAAGGGTAAGAGCCTTTTAAAAGCTGAAAGACAAAGTTTCATAGAAGTTTTCCCCAAGGAAGAGACTGGAAACTATGTTAAATACCACATCCATTTAGTGTCACTTATATTTGCTTAGCTATAATAAACACACCTCTATGCTGAGTTTAATTTTCCAGTCATTCTGAACTAATTCAGGAGGCACATGATCCCTCTGTCTACTCCTTTTGCTAGGTGCTGAGTGATAGTCTAATTGGCAGAGTATCTCAGAATTATTTTTGCTATACTTTGCTACTTTGTTTATTTGGGTTTTTCTGATTATTTATATTCCACAAATAAGTGAAACCTTCCAGTATCTTTCATTTATGTTCTTATTTCAATTAGCATAATCACCTCAAGGTCCATCCCCATTTTGTTTCAAAAGGTACTTTTCATCTTTTTTGATAGCTGTGTAATATTCCATTGAATATGTAGTCAACAATTTCTTTAACCAGTCATCTGTTGATGGGCACTCAGATTGCTACCAGCTTGTCTATTGTGAGTGATGCTGCTATGAACATAGGAGTGCTTAAATGTTTTGATACTCTTACTTTTCATCTGCTTTGGGTAAATACATAGCAGTGATATCGCTGAATCACATGGTATTTCCATTTCACCTGGTTAAAGTATCTCCATGTTGTTTTCATAGCAGCAGCACCAGATTACATATACTGTTTACCAGAAAGGAAAAGGGAGGGACAGAAAAGGGGTGACAGGGAAAGAAAGGAAGAAATTGATGGTACATATGTGGTGATATGAAAATGTATCCCCAAAATAATAGTTATGTGAAGGGCTGATAGATTTATAAAATTTAAGGAAAAAGGAATTTTAAGGCCTCTTACTTTAACAACCTGCTCTCACTGGATGAAATAAAAGTTCAGGTTATTAGGCTTCTACCAAAAAAAAAAAAAGTAGCTCAAGGGGCCCCACAAAGACTGCCATATCTGTCAGTGTCAAACAGGAGCTGTAGTTGGTCTGCCATCTCTACCTCCTTCTCAACTCTGACAATTTGTCCTGAGTAAACAGCAACCTATTATTTTCCTCCATGCTCTGACATCATGGCTGCTCACTTCTGTCTCTTCATCAGCTAACATTATTTTCATCTTCTCTTCATGTCATGGCTTCTGCTGACTTGTTTCTGTATATCTATTCATGAATCCTGCTTGTTATCAGCTCTCTTTGTCCCTGTTTCTGGGGCAGTCTATTGCTGAACTCTTTTTATTTCCCCTCCTCAGATTCAGACCCTTCTAAAGACCATCTCTGGTTGGTATAGAAAAGCAGGAAGTAGTAAGCAAGACTTTGAGTAAGTCTTCTTGTGTCAGCCATCCCTGTATCAGCTGCTAGCTGACATTTTCTGCCATGGGTCAGATGTTGAGCCCTGATTCAGTCAGCTGAGCTGTGAACTGGATGGTCATCCTGCCATAAGGAACTCCTCAAAAAAGGGCTCTGAGCTTAGCAGTCTCTGAAGCTTCTTCAAAGCCAGCCATATACCTGAAGCCACCCTACTTGAACTATACACTACCAAGGAAAAAAATCAGACAGATATAGGGGCATGCTCCAGTTTTTATGGATTAACAATGTTTTATTATGTGATATTTTCTGTTCTCAACTAAAGCTCTTTAAGGTATGTTGCATTTTCTCAACTACAGACACAAAAGGTGATAATGCCTATTAGTGCTTATAATATAAGAAATTCAAATGTTATGTCTAGCTTTCAGTAGCAGGAAAGTTTTTGGCAAGAACTGTTATTTTCTACAGTATTTTCCTATCAAATAAGTACAGCTTTATCATCATGGTTGCTTATATAGTTGACAACAAAGTTGTGGAAAATTCAGGCAGAGTGACAAACAAATCTTAATGTGCCTTGCTGGTGTCATCTGAAAGGATCCTTGGATTTTGTCATTGCCTCCACATTGCTGCAGATTGAGAAATATATCTTCTCCAGGAAATTGACAGTGCTTTGAACCACAAACGCATAATGTATGTTCTGAGCACCAGATTAGAAGAGGCTAGAATGTTGTTTAATTTCCTCACTCCACCTGCAGCTTCCTTTCCTTAGTACCCTCTACTCTGGGGAGCCTTTTAATTCTATTACAAAATAGGAAGGTTGTTCTCTTTTCCCTCT